ATGATTTCCTTTTTTGTTTGTCTGGTTTTAGTTTTAGAAGATTTTAGTTTCGTCATCAAATGTAAATGATTGCTTTGCTGTTTGTGTTGGCAGTTGTTGATCTTCAGGGTTTGGATTATACCATTCTAGGCTCTCCTTGCAATGAAAGTTTGTGTGGAGAGATTGCAGTGATTCTAATTTTCTTTCCATTGTAATATAGCTCCTTCTTTGGTTTTTCAGCATTTGAAATCAGTTCCTTGCTTTTCAAATTTAATGTTTGTACTATGATGTCTAGAAGTGTTTCTTCTTGGATCCTGTCTACTGGGGGTTCTTGTATGCTTCTGTCAGGTGGGTGATTTTTTTTTTTCTAGTAAGATTGAGGAAGTTCTTTGTTATTATTTTACTGAATAGGGTTTTGATGCCTTTAGTATTGAATTCTTCTCCCTCATTAATCCCAATTATGGGTAAATTAGATCTCTTGGCTGAATCTGCCAATTCTTGTCTTTCTCTTTGATAGGTTCTGAGTGTTTTTTCCACCCCTTTGACTTTTTGTTCCACTTCCTGTTTTATTCTTGACTCCTGATATTCTGGTTTTCTGTTTTACTTATTCTGTTAGGCATTCCATTGTGGTTTGCAATGTAGAAATTGAACCTTTTATGCTTCCGAGATCAGTTTTCATAGTGTTAATTTTGTCTTTTAATGGGATGGATATGTTTCTGTTTTTATCTCCATATCAGTTTTGGGAGTCCTGGATCTTCTTTGTACTCTTGAAATTGTACTCTTGCATCTCCCTTTTTATTTCATTGTCCAATTCTGTCATCATATGTTTAATCATTCTTTTGTCCTCCATCTCTTCTTCACTTTCACTGAGGTCCTTCCCTGAATTTTTTGTTGGCTTTTGGATTTGGTTTATTGTCTTGATTGTTCATGAATCTTGTAATCTTTCGTTGTGATTTACTCATTTGGGTTCAAGGATTGTCAGGGACCTGGCCCAGCTTGGCTGTTGGCGCCCAATATGTGGTGGCCCGCACTTTGCCTGGGCTGGTTCACCTAGTGTGAACTAGACTTTACTTGGCCCCTGGGCCAGCAAGCACTTGTGTGCATCCCCATGCACCAAGCACTTGTGCTTGCATACTTGCCCCTGGGCTAGCTTAGCCCCAGGCCAGTGAGCTCTCTGCAGTTGGAGGGTGCTTGGTCCTGTCTGTTGTGGGGACTGGGAAGGCTAGATTTAGGCCTTTGGGATGTGTGCGAGCCTCAGAGGTGTGGGCCCCCATGGACATGTGGGAGTTTGTCTGTGCTTGGGCCCCTAGTTGGTCACCTTGTAGGTAACCAGCACTTGGCCTTCAGCTTGGACACGTGCATGACTTGGCCCCGAGCCAGGGAACTCTCTGCTGGCAGCTGGGTCTGGTCTGTGGTGGTGGCTGGGAAGGTTAGATTAAAGCCTCTGAGATGGGTGTGAGGCTTTGGAAGGGGCAGGTTCTCATGAGTACATGGGAGTTTGTGCTGTTTCAGGTTTCCCTGCCAGTATCCAGGACAATGGAGGACACAGTCCTGGTCTAGTGTCCACCTAGAATGAGTCCTGGTGGTGTCTCGCTGGTGGGGTGTGGGGGAGTTAGGAAGGGCTCTGGTTTCTATGTCCTCTTAAAATGTGGTGCCCCTTGAATGGGAGGGAGGGGTCTGGGCCAAGGTCTGTGTGTCACCACCAGCATTGGTCTTGCCTGTGGTGGTGGTGGGGTCATTGGGAGGGTACTCACTGATCCTTGTGTTGATTGTGGGCTGACCGGTGTGCTGTGGAAGTTCTCTGAGTCTGGATGTCTCCATTTCATGTTGCTGGTCTCTGGTGCTCTTTGTGTTGGCCAGGTCCCTGTGCTGTGGAAGTTTTCTGTGTCTGGATGTGTCTGGGTGCTGCAGTCTCACTGGTCAGGTCCTGGAGTCCTGGGCAGCCACATAGCTGTGCTGTCAGTGTGGGATGGGGGTTGGGGGACGGCTCTTCACAGGTTTTGGTCCTTCTGTGTACAAGTTATTAGTTTTTTTTCCCCGATCCTGTCATTCTCTATTTGTTCATATATTTGTTGTTGTTGATTTCTTGGGGGAGAAGTGTGTGTTAAGGTCCTAAATTTGTTTGATTAGAGAGAGGTAAGGTGATTCCCTATTGCTTCTCTGCTATCCTCTTCTGTTGATCTTAATATTCTTAATTTTTTATTGATACTATAAAGGTGATGTTCAGAGCGGTTACAGTTATATAAGTCAGGTAAAAATTACCATTCTTTTTGGACAATGTCATCACTTCCTTTGCTTTCTCCCAGTTTTTCCTACCTATCCTCATTCTGAATACTCTTTTTTAAAAATATAGACAAGCTGGGCGTCAGTGACTCATGTCCATAATCCTAGCTACTCAGGAGGCTGAGACCTGAGGATCATGTTTGAAGCCAGCGGGGACAGGAAAGTCTGTAGGACTCTTATCTCCAACTAACCACCAGAAAACTCCAAGTGGAACTGTGGTTCAAGTAGTAGGATGCTATCCTTGAGCACAAAAGCTCGGGGACAGCATCAAGGCTCAGAGTGTAAGCCCCAGGATTGAGGAAAAAAAAATTTTGAACAAGATCGCTAGTGTAGAACACTAATTTTATGTACTAGGTTTTAGTCTGCTGTAACTGACCTAATTCATTCAAATAAAATCTATTTTAATTAGCAGTTACAATAGTTAGAACTACATTCTTCTCCAGTAATACATTTGTAAAACATTATTTTTGGTTACTTGATCAAATTATTAATATTGTCCAATTTTCATGTAAGTTTCTTTAGCTTAATATTTGATGTATATTATGCTTTTTCTTAAATGGGAACATAAAAAATTTCACATTATTTTCCTTAAAATTGTTTAGAGTTTAAACTATCAGTTTTGAAGCATTTATTTTATTAATTTTTTTTTTTTTGGTTGGTCATGGGGCTTGAACTCTGGGCCTGGACGCTGGCCCTCACCTCTTCAGCTCAAGGCTAGCGCTCTACCACTTGAGCCATAGCACCACTTCTGATTTTCTGGTGGTTAATTGGAGTTGAGTCTCATGGACTTTCCTGTGTGGTCTGGCTTTGAACCATGATCTTCAGATCTCAGCCTCTTGAGTAGCTAGGATTTACAGGTGTGAGCTACCAGCGCCTGGCCATTTTATTAGTTTTTTCACAAATATATTTTTTGAAGGGGGGCGGGTGGGTCCAGTCGTGGGCCTGAACTCTGGGCCTCGGCGCTGTCCCTCAGCTCTTCAGCTCAAGGCTAGTGCTCTACCACTTGAGCCACAGCGCCACTTCTGGCTTTTTTTTCCTGCTTATTTGGTGCTG